TGGTTTTTTTTGGCTACATTTGGATGTGAAGGTATAATGAAAGTTTCAACAATGGCTCATCCAGTGAAACGGGAAGATTTACCTTTTGACGAAATAAGTCCGATAATATAGAAAAATGCGACCTAAATGGATTAGTAATTGCAGAGAAAGCAAAATTTATGGCTACCAGACAGAAAGCTGACTAACCTGTTAAAAATTTTTTGCATTGTCTAAAAAAAAATCCATCTCGTATTGTGAGTTCGAAAAACTCGGAAAAAAGCCAAACAATTTAAGAATTTATTCAAATGAGACTAATTGAAGGAATATGCATTGCACCGCTACAAAAAATAAAAAAAATAAAAAATTCAATAGAAAAATGAAAACGGACAAGTCAAGTTAATTTAGAAGTCGGTGACACCTAGTCGCTGAAGAAAATCGTGCCAAAATGTCGCTTCTGTGAATATGAACACGAAATAAAGAAATGCCCATCATTTGGAAAGAATGTCTTTAAAAAGAAAATAAAAAGAATTGAATAAGATCAACAAGACGAAAATATTGGTGTTTCTCGTTGAAGAACAAATAAAAAATATTTTGCTATATGTTCGAATAAACAACGTAGATTTGGATATGCAAATGGACGCAGGCATCAAATTAACGCTAATACCAAGAAATTTTGGGGAGCATATAGGCAAACCCAAACTACGTGAAAGCAATCTGCAGTTCGATGGGTCAGTCACAAAAACCTTGATTTTTAAGGATCTCTACAACTAGAAAATAGCTAAATTGTTGCAAAAAGTCACGGAAAATTATGAAGTAAGACTAAAGTTAAAATGTTACCACCCTCCTTATGAGACACGGAAATAACCAGTGCACTTTTTCCTATTAGTAGTAGCAAAATTGCGAAAATTAGTAGAGAAAGGTCTTGAGATTGTTCCTCTAGGGGGTGGACAATGAGCCTCCCCAATTGTCTTTTTGGGAAAATCAGATGGAGATATATGTATATTTAGTGATTATAAAGTGGTAGTAAATTATACAATTTGCTCAAATGTGAAAAATGTGAAAGTGGCCTTACGTTCCTTAGTAAAAATGGACTTTTTTTTTTAGGAAAATAACCCCTCAAATACATATCACCAGATATTAATAGACGAAAAGTTTAAAATAACGATAATAAACTCTCCGATAGGTCTCTTGGGTTGGAATAGAAGACAACCGTCCTATTTCCAAGGCCAATAAACAAGTGAAGCGATATAAAAAAGGATGCTATCAAAGTTATATATGCCTCGGGGCCATTAATAAAAAAGAATAAAAAAACGAACTGACATTGTCTTAAGTAGATTAAGGAATGACAATACGTGAATAGAAATCCGTACAAAATACACAGTGACAAAATAACATTTCTGGGATACTCCACTTCAAAAGGAGTTTTATCGGATCAAGCACTTGCTAAAAGTATCGGTACCCACAAATAAAAATAGCTTAAATCCTTCTTAGAATTAGTGATTTTTTATAGACGGTATATACCATACTATACAGATCTAATGGAATCATTTGCCAAACTGAAAGAAAAAAGCATGCTGAATTCATGTGGACCAAAGAACAACAAAAAGCTTTTGATAAGTTAACTCTCGCAAATAAACCAGTGGTGTGATTCTTTACCCAGAAAAGAAATTACGTTGACTACAGATGCCAGTGAACATTCAATATCTGGAATATTATCACATGAACAATACCCAATAATTTACTTAGCAAGAAGATTTTACAAAAGTCTAAAATAGAATATAAGGAGACTTTTGAAGATACTTTACTAGATTGGTAGACTGGTGTGTTGTTATTGAATATAATGGCTGCCGAAACTGTACAGGACCCAGTACTAAAAAGTATAACATCAAGAATAAAAAAGAACAATTGTTCCATGGCAGAATGATCATACACGGAAATAAGACACAACAATTGACAATCGTGATTTGTAATGAAGATTTAGTGATACTCTCAGAAATTCAAAGAAAACACGTTATAAAAGTGTACATGACGACATACTATGAAATAGCATTTACGCAAAAAATGCTTAAAGTTAGAAGCATGATAGCCAGGATATTCACGTGATGTGAAAGAATATTACAAGTTGTCTGAAATGTAAAAAATTAAAGAAGTTTACAAGAGTAAACTAGACACATAGAGTTGGGACCATGGAATCGCGTTTACATGGATCGTATGTTAATGAAGTGGGAATCATTAATATTAGCTTATTGGCTTGAGATAAATCGTGTACCAGACAAAAGTTCTACTGCAAAACAAATTTTAAGTCATATTCGCTATCCTATAACGTTCCAGAATTTTGCAACGAAGGACTTAATTCGTGGCTAAGAAAAATAGGATAGACGCCTTATAACACATCTTATATCATCACCAATCGAATGGCATAACGGAAAGATTGGTGCACACAATAAAGGTGGTCCTAAAGGCATCAAAAAGAAAGAAAAAGAAATGTTTATACTGAGACTGCTTTAAGTTCACGAACTATTTAATGGGAAGGCAAATAGGTGTTCCTCTGTCTTTCTACTGATGAAAGAATACGGTATAAAAAGAATAAGAAATCTGTTCCTGAAAAGCCAAATCTCACAATGCAAAAAGGAAACATGGATGTAATAAATGGTGATCAAATATGGTGACGAGACGAATACGAGTAGAAAAATAACGAAAAAATGTCTGATATTTCAAATAATGATTTTGTCAAACAATAATGAAGCCGAACGTTTATAGGATGAAATGCCTGAGGATGATCGTACGGATGATACAAATAGTCGAAATGAATGCTCTAAAACTTCGGAAGAGTCGATGAATGAAGACGGTTCTGAATGCGAGACAGGTTTTCATTAATATCTCGGAAGATATTGGAAATCACAGAAACTCCGAAAACGAATTAAGGATTAGAAGTGATCGAAGTACCCACGACATAAGACCTCTGCGTATTAGGGAGATGCGGTGATATGTAAATGACTGCACAATTATCATAGCGAATATAATACCCAAGTAGTAAGGGAAGGACAGAATAAGATACGCGAGTATTGCATTCTGGCCGGCAAAGGAGTTCACTCCTCTGACAATAATATTATCTCTAGCCCATCACCACAGCCACTACCCCACCTCTCTATCGGGAGGGGACTGGATTTATAGCCCGGCGCCTGAGACACTCCCAAAAATGTGGAGATACCGAGGGGCCTGAGAATTTTTCCATGAACCCACATTAAACTAAACTTTGTGTCACATTACGTTTTGTCCTGTGCGTCTAAATACCGAATACAATACGCGAGATTAAATGGACTGGACTGAGAAAATTCGAAGGAAATCACATTTCATAATACGTGGAAAGCTATGATCACCTACGTCCTAAAAAGTTATGCCATTTTAAAAAAAAAATATTTATAATTTCTATCGCATTCTACGGTTAAGGAGAGCGAGCCTAAAATAAAGAACAATCATCGGGATGTTTCTAATTTATTCCTTATTTTCGGAAACCTTATTTTATTTTATCGTGCCTTACTGATCAAAATTGGCGAATATGTGTTAATTGATTTCTAACAATGAACATGAAAGAATAGGCAAAATGGTTAGTAAATTATGTTTAAGGTAAAAATGCCGCTGAAATGCGAGAATTGGTTTGTGGAGTTAACGGACGAACTGCTCTAAATGAGCAAACGTAACAAAAGTGATTTTCCTAATATATTTTTCGTTGAACAATGCTCCACATTCAGGTACACAAGATAGCAATAAAATAAAGATATTAGTTGAAAACATAAGACGGGTGATTACCAACACGCTTAAAATGTCCAATTTGAGCCTTGAAAATCATTTCCGCCAACTGGGTAAATCGCTTTGATGTGTATAAGAGTAATCGAAATAATCTTCTCGATCATCTTGATATTCCCCATTCAACAATGTGAAACAAAAATGAATTTGCTTTAAAAAGTTTCAGTTCATTAGACAGCAGCGAAGATAAAATGTTCTGGGAAAATGCAATTATCAGATTTTCTTAAGATGAGAGTGAAACAAAATGTCAAATATATTGTTAAATTAAAAAGCAGACAACCTTAAATGGACTGGACTGAGAAAATTCGAAGGTAATCACATTTCATAATACGTGTAAAGCTATGATCACCTACGTCCTAAAAAGTTATGCCATTTTAGAAAAAAAAATATTTATAATTTCTATCGCATTCTACGGTTAAAGATTATATTTTATAATAGATTATATTTTATTTCCCAAGGAATGGGATTTTTTTCTGGTTCCACAGATCACATTTCCAAGTATAAAAGAAAATGGTTTAAAAATTTACATATTATTATTTTTATACAAGTTTTTGAGGGGTAGTTTTAAGTTGATGTAAGGTGATAGAGAGAGGTGGAAGAAGGACGACCGACATGATCGAAATTAGAGAGGGAAGATAGGAATATGTTTAAATCTATCTTTATTAAGATACGTAAAGTAAAAGTGGTAGGGTAAGGTGCCAGACATTTTGACCTATTTGACCAGACCTATTTAACAAGTCCTTTCATAAGAAAAGGAAAGAAGACAAAGAAAAAAGAAGGATAAGACATAATAGAAAAGAAATAGGGTAGCAGGGGTGGTGGAAGAGAGAAAGAAGAAAAAGAAGAATACATTATAGACTGTAACAGAGAGAGGTATACACATATACACCCACATAAACACACACATATTTTTTTTATTGAAATTGGAGTGAATCTAGCTAGTGAAATTAGATCAGAGCGTTTTGTTTGCTGATGAGGAAATCTGATTTCGCCTTTGGAATTGCGTCGTTGAAAAGACAATGGAAATGATCTAAATAAATTTTATCGGTTAAAATTGAAATAGAGCTTACTCAGACTATGAGAACTTTGAAACTCATATGATTTTGGGTTGAAAACGGCACTCATGATAATCGCGTGCCGGGCCAAGGGTCGATTTATGATCAACCAGATTTATCTATATAGACTAGCGTAGTTATGCTGAAGAAGAAGCAGAC